GGGTCCGGGGAGAGCGGATATAGTGAATGCAGGGTCCGGGGAGAGCGGTTATAGTGAATGCGGGTGGGGAGAGAGCGGATATAGTGAATGCAGGGTCCGGGGAGAGCGGATATAGTGAATGCGGGGTCCGGGGAGAGCGGATATAGTGAATGCAGGGTCCGGGGAGAGCGCATATAGTGAATGCGGGGTCCGGGGAGAGCGGATATAGTGAATGCGGGGTCCGGGGAGAGCGGATATAGTGAATGCGGGGTCCGGGGAGAGCGGATATAGTGAATGCGGGTCCGGGGAGAGCGGATATAGTGAATGCAGGGTCCTGGGAGAGCGGATATAGTGAATGCGGGTCCGGGGAGAGCGGATATAGTGAATGCGGGGTCCGGGGAGGGCGGATATAGTCCGGGGTCCGGGGAGAGCGGATATAGTGAATGCAGGGTCCGGGGAGAGCGGATATAGTGAATGCGGGGTCCGGGGAGAGCGGATATAGTGAATGCGGGGTCCGGGGAGAGTGGATATAGTGAATGCAGGGTCCGGGGAGAGCGGATATAGTGAATGCGGGGTCCAAGGAATGCAGCCGGGGAGATATAGTGAATGCGGGGTCCGGGGAGAGCGGATATAGTGAATGCGGGGTCCGGGGAGAGCGGATATAGTGAATGCGGGGGGGGAGAGCGGATATAGTGAATGCCGGGTCCGGGGAGAGCGGATATAGTGAATGCAGGGTGCGGGAAGAGCGGATATAGTGAATGCAGGCTCTGGGGAGAGCGGATATAGTGAATGCGGGGTCCGTGATTTAGTTACACTTTAAAGTAGACCTGTCATCATATATATATGTTAAGTCTATGAATGGTAATTAATGTGTCAGTGGAATATTTTCAGACATTTATTAGCTCTCACAAAGATCAGAGTACACCTCCTGACAAGCTTTAACTTTTCTCTCCAGAAAGAAGACACCATGCTTGTTCAGTTATCATCCAGATTCACCACCAACTTAGCTTAGAGATAACAGAGTCATGGAAATCCCGGAGCTGCACAGTTCTTGGCTGTGTGTCACAAATCTCTGACACAGATCAGCCCCTGCGGCAGTCTCTCACTTTGCGACTTTCTACAAAGTTACAATATACAGTCTGATCACTGGGGGAGGGAAGACTGATTAAATACTTTGTCCAGCCTGCAGCAGACTGGTGACATCATCTCAGCGAAGTCACTGCACTGGAGCTGAAGAAAATGGAGCTTTTTTGGAAACATGATACTGCTGCTGTCTATTGTGAAGTCATGAAGACTTATGAAGTTACCTAAAGCTGTATATTGGGGATGTTAGCTGCAGAAGACAGGCGGTGCAACTTGGAGACCCCACTTCTCCATTATGTAACAGTATATGGACCCCTCAGGCCCAGTGTTGAAGGGGTATATTGGATCAGAAGACACAAATTTCCTCTCCCTACTATTTCCAGCCAGAAACCCTGCCGTATCCAACGAGCCACAAGGCTCAAAGAATATATTCGGCCCTCCAGGCTGCTCTGGATATTTTTAGAGCCATTTTTTTAAAAAGTAAAATTTCAATGCAAAGTATATGTGACTCTCTGCGCTCTGCACACTAGTTGGACACTGGAGACCCCTGCTGGCCATATCCTGTATTGCAGGTTATCATACACTTCTCATTGTCATTGAAGAGGATCCTTAGTGGCCCTATATGTGAATTACTCATCATTCCTCCTGTAAGTAGAGCTGAAGCCACAACATAAAATTTATAAAGCCATGCAGAACGCATATACCATTGTCTCCAGTCCTAATTTTTTTTTTAACCACAGTGGCTATGTTAGCACTTCTGCCTGGTAGTACTCGGGTCGTTGGTTCAAATCCCAACCAGGGCACCACCTGCCTGGAGTTTGCATGTTCTCTCTGTGCCTGTGTGGGTTTCTTCAGGGTACTCCGGTTTCCTCCCACACTCCAAAGACATGCTGGGAGGTTAATTGGCTCCTGTCTAAATTGTCCCTAGTATGTGTATGAATGTGAGTTAGGGACCTTAGATTGTACACCCCTTGAGGTAGGGACTGATGTGAATGTACAATATATATGTAAAGCACTTCATAAATTGACAGAACTATATAAATGCCTTGAATAAGTAAATAAAATAGCCCCCCTCAGTTGTTTTTTTTTCCTATCTGGGGAGATTTCACATCACTTCCGGTCCCATAGCCAAAACAGGAAGTGAAATGATATCCCTCTGAATTGCACTTGTGTCCCCATTGGATGATTTGCCTTCTACTCCTGTTTTGGTGACAAACAAAAAAACACTAGTTGGACACTGGAGACCCCCTGCTGGCCATATCCTGTATTGCAGGTTATCATTCACATCCCATTGACATTGAAGAGGATCCTTAGTGGCCCTATACGTGAATTACTCATCATTTCTCCTGTAAGTAGATCTGAAGCCACAACATAGAATGTGTAACGGCACGCACAACGCACATACCATTGTCTCCAGTCCCACTTATTTTTTTAACTACAGTGGCTAAGTGGTTAGCACTTCCACCTGGCAGTACTCGAGTCGCTGGTTCAAATCCCAACCACGGCACCACCTGCCTGGAGTTTGTATGTTCTCCCTGTGCCTGTGTGGGTTTCCTCCGGGTACTCCAGTTTCCTCCCACACTCCAAAGACATGCTGGTAGGTGAATTGTCTCCTGTCGAAATTGTCCCTAGTATGTGTATGTATGAATGTGAGTTAGGGACCTTAGATTGTACACTCCTCAGGGGCGGGGACTGATGGGAATGTACAATATATATGTAAAGTGCTGCATAAATTGATTATCGCTATATAAGTACCTGAAATAAATAAAATAACCCCCCTCAGTTGTTTATTTTTTTTCCTATCTGGGGAGATTTCACATCACTTCCTGTCCCATAGTCAAAACAGGAAGTGAGATGATATCCCTCAGAATTGCTCTTGTCTCCCCATTGGATGTGTTACCTTCTACTCCTGTTTTGGTGACAAACAAAAAACACAAAACAAAAAAAAAAAAAAAAACCCCCCCCCCCCAAAAAAAAAAAAAATAGGCACTCGATGGACCACTCAGTCTTTTTCTGCCGTCACTTTTCTATGGTGACAACCCAACATTTTTTCTTTGCGGTCAGTGACACCTCCAGGTCTTTGCCTCCCGCTGTGGTTGGCTGTCACAGCGGTCACATGATCTGGAAGCCGTCTCTGCCTCCTGGCACTCACATAAAGGACTGCCAGGAGGCACTTACGGATTTGTGGCAATGCGCGCGTTACCATGCGTGTTATGAATGCCTCCTGGCACGCTAGGACACTGCGCCTGCAGCACGCGGCAATCTGAAAAATGGCCTAACACAGTTTAATGCACTGCAAAAAAAAAAAGTAAATAAACCCTTAAAGGGACTGTAAACCTTCCATATACACAGTTAAGTGAACAGCCTCAGGTGATACAGAGAGGAAACATATCCTCCTACGTAAGCTGTACCTGTTTATCTGCAGTCTTTTCCTCTCTACTGCCATTCAAAGTGCAGAGTTTATAAACCTTGTCTGAACAGTGAGAAAAAAGGGGACAGAGAGTTGAATTTACACACCGCAGAGCTCAGGGAGGAGAGCTCTGACAGCTAATTGGAGAAAAGAGGCACACACCCTCCTTCACACAGCACACAGGAACAGAGCTGAGGCTTTCCATCACAGGTTGTGTGCTGGAGGTCCCTCCTCTGTCACCATTTTTCTCTTGGTGTCAGGAAAACTTGTCAGAAGTGATTCATGCTGATAGCAGAGGAAGGAGGCAGCAGACAGAAATGACACTTAGTGCTCTGGACTGGGACAAATACACTCTATAGAGGGATATGCTTTGTTCATGTTTCATATCTGAGGGTTACAGCCACTTTAAAGCTCCCTTATTCCGTTGCTCATCCCTTCTTTCAGCAAGACTGTATTTGTCAACTGTGGGTGTAGGATTATAACTTTTTTTTAAATGGTTTAACTGGATGGACTTTTGTCTTTTTTCAGCCAGACTAACTATATGACTATGTAACTATATACAGTTGTGTTCAAAATAATAGCAGTCAGACATCACTAACCGGATCAATCATTGTTTTTGGTAGAAATGATATTTCTACATGGCAAATAAAGTAACCATGTAAATATGTAACTATATAACTATGTAACTATGTAACCATGTAACTATATAACTATGTAACTATATAACTATGTAACTATATAACTATGTAACTAATAACTATGTAACTATGTAACTATGTAACTATGTACCATGTAACTATGTAAATATGTAACTATGTAACTATATAACTATGTAACTATGTAACTATGTAACTATATAACTATGTAAATATGTAACTATATAACTATGTAACTATATAACTATGTAACTATGTAACTATATAACTATGTAACTATATAACTATGTAACTATATAACTATGTAACTATGTAACTATGTAACTATGTAACTATGTAACTATATAACTATGTAAATATGTAACTATGTAACCATGTAACTATGTAACTATGTAACTATGTAACTATGTAACTATGTAAATATGTAACTATGTAAATATGTAACTATGTAACTATATATGTAACTATATAACTATGTAAATATGTAACTATGTAACTATGTAACCATGTAACCATGTAACTATATAACTATGTAAATATGTAACTATATAACTATGTAAATATATAACTATGTAAATATGTAACTATGTAACTATGTAACCATGTAACCATATAACTATGTAACTATGTATAACCATGTAACCATGTAACTATGTAACCATGTAACCATGTAACCATGTAACTATGTAACTATGTAACTATGTATCTATGTTTTAGCAGAATAATTAAAACATCAGACAGGCGTTGTAGCTGCAGATTTTATTATGAGGAGAGGATACACGGAATATTGGGAGCTGATACAGATGACGGAAGGATGAAAGATGACAGAGAGGTGATGCTCTGCAGCCCAGGTCGGCACAGCGGTGTGGAAATCACTTGGCGCAGTGGACGCAGTTGCTGTAGGGGTAGTCCCAGTGGAAGCCAATGGCGTCGATGACGGAGCCGGAGCTTCCGCTGATGTATCTCAGGAAGGTGTCGGGGAACAGGGGGGCGCCATTGAAGGCGGTTCCTTGGTCTTTGCCGAAAGAGAACATGCGCCCCTTGTTGGTGACAAACATCAGCCGGCGGAGGTAGGAGGTATATTTCCCGGATACCTGGATGATGTGTTCTCCGGGGTGAAGGAAAAGTTCCTCCAGATCACCCAATGAACCCCCTTGGTACTGCGACCATGTCGTCCCATATCGTACCTGGATCCTGCCGAGAGAACAATCCCACATTATTAGAACAATATAGGAGTATAGTATAAGAGAATAATATAATATAATATATATAAACTAAAACTAATAATAGAAGAATATAAGAAAATAGTATAAGAGAATAATATAACATATGTAAAATAAAAAGTAAAATATATATAAAATATATTCAGACAATATAGGAGTATAGTGTAAGAGAATAATATAATATAATATATGAAATCAATCTAATGATAGAACAATATAAGAAAAATAATTATATATATATATAATGTAATATTAGAAGTATAGTATTAGTGAGCAATATAAAAAAATAGTAACATAAAATAAATATTATAAATAAAACTGTCATGGGCTCCACAACAGCCTCAGGTTATGTGCCAAAAAAATGGCCATGGCATCCGATTCCCATTGTTACCAGTGCCGCAGCTATAGCGGGAGTGATGGCCATGCCGGGCCACCAGAACAACATTGTTTTCCAAGTGTGAAACTGGGATTCCTCATTACCCCCAAATTTTGGCAAAAAATCACAAGATTTCTGCATTGGATCTAGGTTAAGGAAAATTTCCTCCAGATCACCCAATAAGCCCCCTTGGTACTGCGACCACGCCGTCCCATATCGCACCTGGATCCTGCCAGGAGAACAATCCCACGTTATTAGAACAATATAAGAGTATACAGTGGGGATCGAAAGTTTTGGGCACCCCAGCTAAAATTTTGTATTAATGTGCATAAAGAAGCCAAGGAAAGATGGAAAAAAAAAAATCCCCAAAAGGCATCAAATTACAGATTAGACATTCTTATAATATGTCAACAAAAGTTAGATTTTATTTCCATCATTTACACTTTCAAAAATAACAGAAAACAAAAAAAAAATGGCGTCTGCAAAAGTTTGGGCACCCTGCAGAATTTATAGCATGCACTGCCCCCTTTTGCCAAGCTGAGACCTGCCAGTGTCATGGATTGTTCTCATCGGGAAGACCAGGTTATGTCAATCTCAAAGGTTTTAAATGCCCAGACTCATCTGACCTTGCCCCAGCAATCAGCACCATGGCTTCTTCTAAGCAGTTGTCTAGAAAACTGAAACTGAAAATAGTTGACGCTCACAAAAGCTGGAGAAGGCTAGAAGAAGATAGCAAAGCGTTTTCAGATGTCAATATCCTCTGTTCGGAATGTAATTTAGAAATGGCAGTCATCAGGAACAGTGGAAGTTAAAGCAAGATCTGGAAGACCAAGAAAAATACCAGACAGAACAGCTCGCAGGATTGTGAGAAAAAACAATTCAAAACCCACGTTTGACTGCACGATCCCTCCAGAAAGATCTGGCAGACACTGGAGTTGTGGTACACTATTCCACTATAAAGAGATACTTGTACAAATATGGTCTTCATGGAAGAGTCATCAGAAGAAAACCTCTTCTACGTCCGCACCACAAAAATCATCGTTAGAACTTTGCAAATGAACATATAGACAAGCTTGATGCATTTTGGAAACAAGTTCTGTGGACCGATGAGGTTAAAATTGAACTTTTTGGCCGGAAATGAGCAAAGGTACGTTTGGAGAAGAAGGGGCACAGAATTTAATGAAAAAAACCTCTGCCAACTGTTAAGCATGGGGTTGGATCAATCATGCTTTGGGGTTGTGTTGCAGCCAGTGGCACAGGGAAACATCTCACGAGTAGAAGGAAAAATGGATTCAATAAAATTTCAGCAAATTTTGGATGGTAACTTGATGCCATCTGTGAAAAAGCTGAATGTTAAAGAGAGGATGGCTTCTACAAATGGATAATGATCCTAAACACACCTCGAAATCTACGGGGGATTACATCAAGAGGTGTAAACTGAAGGTTTTGCCATGGCCTTCACAATCTCCTGACCCTCAACATAATTGAAAATCTATGGATAGACCTTAAAAGAGCAGTGTGTGACAGACAGCCCAGAAATCTCAAAGAACTGGAAGACTTTTGTAAGGAAGAATGGGCAAAGATACCTCAAACAAGAATTGAAAGACTCTTGGCTGGCTACAAAAAGCGTTTACAAGCTGTGATACTTGCCAAAGGGGGCAGTACAAGATATTAACTCTGCAGGGTGCCCAAACTTTTGCAGACGCCATTTTTTTTGTTTTCTGTTATTTTGAAAGTGTAAATGATGGAAAAAAAATCTAACTTTTGTTGACATATTATAAGAATGTCTAATCTGTAATTTGATGCCTTTTGGAGATTTTTCCATCTTTCCTTGGCTTCTTTATGCACAATTAATACAAATTTTTAGCTGGGGTGCCCAAACTTTTGATCCCCACTGTGTATAGAATCAGAGAAAATATAATATATATATAAAATAATCTAATAATAGAACAAATATAAGAAAATAATATTTTATATAATATATATATATATATATATATTAATAATTGATAAATATATAAAAAAAATAAAAATAAAATAGAAAAATATAAGAGTATAATATTACAAAAAAGTAACATAAAATAAATATTAAAAAATAAAACTGCCATGGGCCCCACACCAGCCTCGGGTTACGTGGCAAAAAAAAAATGGCCATGGCATCTGATTCCCATTGTTACCAGTGCGCAGCTATAGCGGGAGTGATGGCCGTGCCGTTGTGCCCTCAGAACAACATTGTTTTCCAAGTGTGAAACTGGGATTCCTCATTAACCCCAAATTTTGGCAAAAAAAAAAATCACACGATTTCTGCATTGGATCAATAGGGATGGTCAAATTTGAGTGATTTTTGGTGTTATTTTAGGGTGCAATCAGCTGGATCCTGAGGGTTATGAAAGCTCTTTTCAGCTAACCTGGGCATCTTTATGTAGTCTCATTATTTAATTTTCATTTATTTATTATTTATTTTTAGACAGAAAAGAAAAAAAAAGATAAAAAACAGAGCTGTTCTTCCATTGAATCTACTTGTACATTCGCCCTGTGAGAATGGTGCAAGATCGAATGTTCTTCAGTCTATAGCCTCTGCAATTCAAATGTGTGAATTGAGGAAAATGCCACAATATGAGTGCAGAATGGCGATGAGGAGCACACTTGTTTCTCAATAGTCACAGAGTTAGATCAGGGACCTCCAAACCACGGCCTGCGGGCCACGGCTGGCACTCAGCAGGATTTTACCCGGCCCTCAGCTAGGGTCAGTGGCGTATTCTCAATGTGCATAGATTGAGGTCAGCAGAGGCTGCCTATAGTATCCGATTTGACCCCCCTAACCTGCACTCAAACTCTGTAAACCCTTGGCACCGTGCCTTCCGCCCCTTTAAGGCTTTCAGAATCCGGGAGGCGGGGCGGGGTTTTAGTGTCATGTGACCGCCGTGATTCGCCATCACGGCAGTCACATGATCGGGAAAGGTCCCGATCGAAAGAGGAGATTGGGACCTTTCCGTGAGTACCGGACATGTGTGCAGGGCACGCGCTCTCAGCACATATGTTTTTCTTAATTGCACACAAATGTGCGGCCGCTCGGCGTCTAGGCCCAGACCACATTTGTGTGCGGCCGGCGTGAAGAGGTTAAAGGGTGACTGATGGGGACTTTGATGTAAGGGGCAGTGGTGTATTCACCTCCAGGCAAAAAAGGCATTTGCCTTTGGCGGATATTTTCAGGGGGGGGAGGCGGCAGTGGCGGAGGGTGTTGGTGACAGACGGGGAGGGGCTCTTGTGTTGCCTAGGGCAGCGTTTGCAGTTCCAGTGCGTTCCGGATGCAGAAAAAAAGTAAAACAGGCTGCCTTTTTTCCCGCACAGAACTGCACTAAAACGCATCAAAAATGCACCAAAAACACACTGGAATGCACATGTCCCAATTTAAATTGAAGAAAAAAAGTGATGAAAAAATTAAATGGAAAGCATCAAAAACGCGCTGGAACATGCCAAATATGCTTCAAAAACGTATCTGGAACATGCCAAATATGCTTCAAAAACGTATCTGGAACATGCCAAATATGCTTCAAAAACGCATCTGGAACATGCCAAATATACTTCAAAAATGCATCTGGAACATGCCAAAAATGCTTTAAAAACACATCTGGAACATGCCAAACAGGGGCGGACTGACCATTTGGAAACTCGGGCACTGCCCGAGGGCCCGGGGTCAGTAGGGGGCCCCATGAGATGCCCCTGGTACCTTTTTCATAGGCTTTTTTGAGTTTGGGCAAGGACACAGGGGCCCCATGATCCCCTATTGCCCGGGGGCCCCATGAGTTGTCAGTCCGCCCCTCATGCCAAAAATGCTTCAAAAACGCATCTGGAACACAGGTGACTGCGTTTCTATGGTGTGAATCGGCCCTTACACTCTGTATTGGCCACAGCCAAAGCAGCAAAACATCAAAGTTACGCTGAAGTCATGTCAAGCCTCAAGTAAGTCACAATGAAAAGTTGCACTGGAAGTCGCACGACTTTGGGGGTCGCAGAAATGTGAACACTGAGCCTTAATGTTGGGTTTACAGAGAGGGAAAGTTTATTGGAAATTTTTTGTAACCGAGTAGGGGTACTATTCACTCCTGTAGGGGGCGGTATCTGGGGATCCCCTCATTTTTTAAAGGGAACTTCCTGATTCCTAAGCCCCCCACTACCAGGCCATGGTTGTGGGGAAGAGGCCCCTTTCCTCATCAAAAGGTGCTTTGCCAAGGTGATCCCCTCCAACAAAGCCATATTGAGGGAATGTGGCCTGGTATGGTTTGGGGGAAGGGGGTTGCACACAAGCCCTGCCCCCCCCCTTCCAGGCCATCTAGGCTGCATGCTTGAACTAAGGGTCTGGTATGGATTTTTAGGGGGACCCCCACACACATTTTTTTTCCTTTCTTTCCACGGCCTCCCCCTTAAAATCAAAACTCCCCCACAAAACGCATACCGGACTCAAAGGGTCCAGTATACATTTTACAGGAGAAATTGCTGATAAATGACATTTCCCCACCGGCTTCTTAAAAAATAATAAAGGTACATGGACCCCTCCAAAGGTCCCCCAAATATTTTGGAGGACCTTTGCAGGGGTTTATGTGCTGTTTTTTTAATATGAAATGGAAGCCAGACAGGGAATGTCATTTGCCGGCAGTGTACGTACCCGGTCACCCCGATGTGATTTCAGGTGTGACTTGCGAATTGAACTTGCACCTGAAATCGCATGTAATGAATGTGAATGTCGGCGTCTAAACATGTGCGATTTGCTGCGGCGCGATATCTAAAGTAGTTTTTTGCGCGATATCTAAAGTAGTTTTTGCGCGACTTTTTCTGCGTTTTGCTGCGATTTCACATACATAGAATAGGATGCAAATCGCGCCGCAAATTGCAAGAAATCGTTGATAAGCTTCACAATTAACAATAATGTCTTCAGAAATCGCACACAAATCACACGATTTTAAATGGCAGCGATGTGACCCGTGACTTATATCAGGACCTCCTGTCCCTCTTGTATTGGTCTGTATTGTTGCTGTATTGTCTCCCGTTATATTGTAAAGTGCTGAGCAAACTGTTGGCACCATAAATCCTGTATAATAATAATATTTCCTTTGTAACTGTCACTGCTTTAAAGAAATCACTGCTCCTGGCCCAATGGAATTTTTTTTCCTTTTTTTGGGGGGGCTGGTACGTGTTCCTATGGCAGTGCTCAGAGCATTCTGATTTGACCGATTCGGCTCCCATTGACTTCAATGGAGTTTGGGTTCGGCATTAGAACTTCTTTGAAGTTCGCCAAACTCTGCTTGGATGGAACCCAGGGCAGCTCGGCTCAGAGATAATAGAGAAGAGGAACTGATAGTAAATCTCCCAGGAAAATCACCCCCAACATACACAGATATTAGCATGAAGGAAAAAAAGGACAAACTGCACAATTTTTTTTTACCCGGTGATGTAGAGGCGGTTATTACGAACTCTCAGAGCTGTGATTGGTCCATCCAGTTGGTTTCCAGACTGTGAAAATCGCTTTCCGCCCCCACCGCCATATTCACCAGAGTACGAGGAGCTGCGCTGCTGAGCTGAGGGGTGAGGGAGGCAAAACAGGAGTGACATCACTAATATATATATATATCTGTATATAATATGTTATACAGGAGTGACATCACTATTCTATATATATGTATCTGTATAATATGTTATACAGGAGTGACATCACTAATATATATATATATATCTATATATAATATGTTATACAGGAGTGACATCACTAATATATATATATATCTGTATATAATATGTTATACAGGAGTGACATCACTATTCTATATATATGTATCTATATATAATATGTTATACAGGAGTGACATCACTCTTCTATATATATATCTATATATATGTTATACAGGAATGACATCATATATCTATATATATATATCTATATATAATATGTTATACAGGAGTGACATCACTATTCTATATATATATATGTATATATAAAATATGTTATACAGGAATGACATCACTATTCTATATATATATGTTATACAGGAATGACATCACTATTCTATATATATATATCTATATAAAATATGTTATACAGGAGTGACATCACACTATTATATATATATATATTTTATACAGGAGTGACATCACCACTCTCCAGATATAAGATACTGTATATTATACAGCACCTTGAAGAAGTCTTCCTCCCCCCCTTGAAATGTCCCCATGTTGTCATGTTACAATGTATTTTATTGGGATTTGATGGTCAAACTGGTGGCCCTCCAGCTGTTGCAAAACTACAAGTCCCATCATGCCTCTGCCTTTGAGAGTCATGCTTGTAACTGTCGATCTTGCAATGCCTCATGGGACTTGTAGTTTGGCCGCAGCTGGAGGACCGCCAGTTTGACATCATTCCAAATCAAAGTGGCACATATTTGTGAAGTGGAAGGAAAATGAGAAATGGTTTGCAAATAAATCTGTGAAAAGTGTGGCGGCATTTGTATTCGGCCCCCCAGAGTCAATACTTTGTAGGACCCCCTTTGGCTGCAATTCCAGCTGCAAGTCTTTTTGGGGATGTCTCTTTGCACATCTAGAGAGGGACATTTCTGCCCGTTCTTCTTTGCAGAATCCCTCAAGCTCTGTCAGATTGGATGGAGAGCGTCTGGGAACAGCAATTTTCAGGTATAGCCACAGATTCTCCATTGGATTTGGGTCTGGACTGTGACTGGGCCATTCTAACACATGAAGATGCTTTGGTCGGAACCATTCCATTGTAGCTCTGGCTGGATGTTTCAGGTCATTGTCCTGATGGAAGGGGAACCTCCACCCCGGTCTCAAGTCTTTTGCAGACTCTAACAGGTTTTCTTCTAAGATTGCCCTCTATTTGTCTCCATCCATCTTCCCATCAACTCTGACCAGCTCCCCTGTCCCTACTGAAGAAAAGCATCCCCACCACATGATGCTACCACCACCATGTTTCACGGTAGGGATGGTGTGTTCAGGGTGATGTGCAGTGTTAGTTTTCCGCCACACATAACATTGTGCCGTTTTTCCGCAGTTGATGGATGAACCGTACTCTTCTCAGATGATTGCTTGGATGATGGATTGAACTAGTGCAAACCTCTTCACAACTTTATCCCTGACACAAAGCTTGGGGGATTTGTTTAATAGTTGTTCTGAGGACTAACCCTGCAGCTTTAAACCTCTCCACTGAAATTGCTTTAGCCCAGTGGTTTCTGGTAGGTGTTGTGCCGTACTCTTTCCTTTTCGGATGATGGATTGAACAGTGCTCTGTCAGATGATCAAAGCTTGGGAGACACATTTTTTGTAAAATATGCTAACCCTGTTTTTAAACCTCTCCACAACTTTATCCCTGACCCACTGGTGTGTTCCTTGGCCTTCATGATGCTGTCACTAATGTTCAACAAAACCTCTGAGGGCTTCACAGAACAGCTGGATTTATACTGAGATCACATGACACACAGGGGGACTCTACTAATTTGGTGACTTCTGAAGGCAATTGGTTCCACTAGATTTTAGTTAGGGGTATCAGAGTAAAGGGGGCTGAATACAAATGCCGACACACTTTTCACAGATTTTTTGGTCACAAATGCTGAAAACCGTTTCTCATTTTCCTTCCACTTCACAATTATGTGCCACTTTGTGTTGGTCTATCACATCCAATCCCAATAAAAATACATTGACATTTTTGGTTGTAACATGACAACATGGGGAACATTTCTAGGGGGGAGGAAGATTTTTTCAAGGCGCTGTACAGCTGTGACATCACTATTCTCTGTATATAAAGGTATATTATAGAGGAGTGACATCACCGCCCTCCAGATATAAGATATATTATACAGGAGTGACATCACCGCCCTCCAGATATAAGATATATTATACAGAGTGACATCACCGCCCTCCAGATATAAGATATATTATACAGAGTGACATCACCGCCCTCCAGATATAAGGTATATTATACAGGAGTGACATCACCCGCCCTCCAGATATAACATATATTATACAGGAGTGACATCACTGCCCTCCAGTTATAAGGTATATTATAGAGGAGTGACATCACCACCCTCCAGATATAAGGTATATTATAGAGGAGTGACATCACCGCCCTCCAGTTATAAGATATATTATAGAGGAGTGACATCACCGCTCTCCGGATATAAGATATATTATACAGAGTGACATCACCGCCCTCCAGATATAAGATATATTATACGGGAGTGACATCACCGCCCTCCAGATATAAGATATATTATACAGAGTGACATCACCGCTCTCCGGATATAAGATATATTATACAGAGTGACATCACCGCTCTCCAGATATAAGATATTTATACGGGAGTGACATCACCGCTCTCCAGATATAAGATATATTATACGGGAGTGACATCACCGCTCTCCAGATATAAGATATATTATACGGGAGTGACATCACCGCTCTCCAGATATAAGATATATTATACAGAGTGACATCACCACCCTCCAGATATAAGGTATATTATAGAGGAGTGACATCACCGCTCTCCAGATATAAGGTATATTATAGAGGAGTGACATCACCGCCCTCCAGATATAAGGTATATTATAGAGGAGTGACATCACCGCCCTCCAGATATAAGATATATTATACGGGAGTGACATCACCGCTCTCCAGATATAAGATATATTATACGGGAGTGACATCACCGCTCTCCAGATATAAGATATATTATACAGGAGTGACATCACCGCCCTCCAGATATAAGGTATATTATACGGGAGTGACATCACCGCTCTCCAGATATAAGATATATTATACGGGAGTGACATCACCGCTCTCCAGATATAAGATATATTATACGGGAGTGACATCACCGCTCTCCAGATATAAGATATATTATACAGAGTGACATCACCACCCTCCAGATATAAGGTATATTATAGAGGAGTGACATCACCGCCCTCCAGATATAAGGTATATTATAGAGGAGTGACATCACCGCCCTCCAGATATAAGATATATTATACGGGAGTGACATCACCGCTCTCCAGATATAAGATATATTATACGGGAGTGACATCAGATATAAGATATATTATACGGGAGTGACATCACCGCTCTCCAGATATAAGATATATTATACAGGGAGTGACATCACCGCCTCCAGATATAAGGTATATTATAGAGGAGTGACATCACCGCCTCCAGATATAAGGTATATTATAGAGGAGTGACATCACCGCCCTCCAGATATAAGATATATTATATACATCACCGCCCTCCAGTGACATCACACGCTCTCCAGATATAAGATATATTATACGGGAGTGACATCACCGCTCTCCAGATATAAGATATATTATACAGGAGTGACATCACCGCCCTCCAGATATAAGATATATTATACGGGAGTGACATCACCGCTCTCCAGATATAAGATATATTATACGGGAGTGACATCACCGCTCTCCAGATATAAGATATATTATACGGGAGTGACATCACCGCTCTCCAGATATAAGAATATATTATACAGAGTGATATCACCACCCTATAAGGTATAGATAGAGGAGTGACATCACCGCCCTCCAGATATAAGGTATATTATAGAGGAGTGACATCACCGCCCTCCAGATATAAGATATATTATACGGGAGTGACATCACCGCTCTCCAGATATAAGATATATTATACGGGAGTGACATCACCGCCCTCCAGATATAAGATATATTATACGGGAGTGACATCACCGCTCTCCAGATATAAGATATATTATACAGAGTGACATCACCACCCTCCAGATATAAGGTATATTATAGAGGAGTGACATCACCGCCCTCCAGATATAAGGTATATTATAGAGGAGTGACATCACCGCATCCAGATATAAGATATATTATACAGAGTGACATCACCCCCTCCAGATATAAGGTATATTATAGAGGAGTGACATCACCGCCCTCCAGATATAAGGTATATTATAGAGGAGTGACATCACCGCCCTCCAGATATAAGATATATATATAGGAGTGACATCACCGCCCTCCAGATATAAGGTATATTATAGAGGAGTGACATCACCGCCCTCCAGATATAAGGTATATTATAGAGGAGTGACATCACCGCCCTCCAGATATAAGGTATATTGTAGAGGAGTGACACATGGTGACAGAAGGTGTATGGAAATATCAGGTTAAAGAGGACGCGCACTTACCTGCAGCAATGGCGCACGCACTGAGAAGGATCCACAACAACATTCTGAGGAGAGATAACATTTATATTATATTATACGTACTGTAGACAGCAGAGCATTGCACCTCAAATACTGCACAGCCCACAATCCTGCAGAACATTGCACCTCCACTTTTCACAGTATTGACCCCAATACTGCAGAGCATTGCATCTTAAAAAACTAAACAGTACTGCCCCAATACTGCATAGCATTGCACCTCAAATACTGCACAGCACAGCCCCCAATGCTGCAGAACATTGCACCTCAAATACTGCACTGCGCAGCAGAACATTGCACCTCAAATACTGCACCGCAGCCCCAGTACGGCAGAGCATTGCACCTTAAACACTGCACAGCACAGCCCCCAATGCTGCAG